CACAAAAGACCCTGAATATCCGAAGCAACCTTGAGAAAGAAAAGCAAGGGCGCCTGGGTGGCTTACTTGGTTAAGTGGCTGCCTTCAGCTCGGGTCATGGTTCCGGGGTCCTGGGATTGATATCCGAGTCAGGCTCCCTGCTCAGTGGAGAGTCTGCTTCTCTCTCTCCTTCTGCCTGCCTCTCTGCTTACTTGTGCTCTCTCTCTCTCTATCAATTAAATAAATAAAATCTTTTTGAAAAAATGAAAATAAAAAGAAAAAAAAGAAAATAGCAAAGCTGGAGGCATCACAATTCTAGATTTCAAGTTATATTACAAAGGTGTAGTGATCCAAACAGTATGATATTGGCACAAAAATAGACACGTAGATCAAAAGAGCAGAAAAGGGAACCTAGAAATGAACCCACAAGTATATGGTCAATTAATATTCAACAAAGCAGGAAAGAATATCCAATGGAAAAAAGACAGTCTCTTGTTAAATGGTGATGGGAGATTTGGACAGCCATATATAGAAGACAGGCCCAGCCAGCCATTCCAAGATTGGAAGCCACCTTAGCCCAGGTGTTGGTCATCTGACTGGAGCCATCTTGGATCATGAAAGCCTCCACTGACTCCCCGCTGAGTGCAGTCACCTGGATCATGTCATCTGACATCATGAGAAACAAGGACAGCTCAGCAGAGCCAAGCCTGCCCCAGTGAATTAAAAGAAATAGCAGACCACTGTTTTAAACCATTATGCTTTGGGGCAGTTTTTTTTTTTTAAAGATTTTATTTATTTATCTGATAGAGATCACAAGTAGGCAGAGGCAGGCGGGGTGGGTGGGGTGGGAAGCAGGCTCTCCACTGAGCAGAGAGCCCGATGCGGGGCTCGATCCCAGGACCCTGAGATCATGACCTGAGCCGAAGGCAGAGGCTTAACCCACTGAGCCACCCAGGTGCCCCGCTTTGGGGTGGTTTTTATGTGGCAGTAGAGAACAGCTTTGCCTGAGGTTGCATGTGAACTTTATCTTGCGTATGTTAATAACTGTAGTTTTTCTTAGCAAAACCGTACATCATTCATAGGGTGAAATTGTTATGTCATGACGTCACTGATGTTAGACGCCATAGGAGCCCAGCTGGACATGCTTGGCAGCCAGTGCTTGAGTGTAGAAAGTGTGGCTTCTGGGATATCCCAGTATTTTGGGAGATGTCAGCATATGTTGACCAGTGTATTAGATACAATACTGTATTGAAAAGACTGCTGCACTGATCTGTGTGTCTGTGTAGAAAGGCTTGTGCCAGGCAGTATAGTGATGGCTTACATACTGTGGCTTATTTAGTCCTTATAAATAACCTCATTTGACAGGGCTTTATAGATGAGGAGACTCAGGCTGAGAATATATAATCACCTCCCTGAGGTCATAGAGCCAGTAGGCAATGGAGCCCAGAAGGATCCCAGGTTGTCCCGACTCCAGAGCAGCAGTGTCTCCATCCTGCTCCTGCCTCCCATCTTAGGAACATAGCTGTTGGGATGCCTGGCCTACTCAGTTGGAAGAGCGTGTGACTCTTGATCTTGGGGTCATAAGTTTGAGACCCACATTGGTTGTAGAGATTACTTTAATAAAAATAAAACTTAATAAAAAGGGATGCTATATATATGTTCATTAGGAATTTAACTTAGGGAATGTGTTTAATTTGCCAAAATAAAGCATTGATTTCTATCTATAAGCCCAGATAGAGATGTGGGAAAGGACAATGCACCAGTAGTCAGAAATCCAAGGTTTTTGGTCGTGGCTATGATACCTCTAATGGGGACCCCAGTTTCCCCAGCTGAAACGGGGCTGGATTAGATGAGAGTTTCTTAAGGTGGGACAGGAGGCCCACCGACGTCAGAATGTCCTGGAGCATTGTTCTAAACAAGCAGATTCCTAGGATCCAGTAAGATTTTCAGATGACTTTCTGCTTTTTAGGTTTGTTTAAGGAATCCTATGTTTAAGAAGTCCTACCTAGCCTACGGGATCTCTCAAGTCCATCACTTTGAACTCTTAAAAAAATCATGCTAGCTGTATTTGATCTCTTTAGCTGAGTAGCATAGCTGTGCTTCTTAAAACAGCACCTTTTTTTTTTTTTCTTTTTTAAAGATTTTATTTAGGGGCGCCTGGATGGCTCAGTCGGTTAAGCGTCCACCTTAAGCTCAGGTCATGATCTCAGGGTCCTGGGATCGAGTCCTGCATCAGGCTCCCTGTTCAAGGAGGAGTCTGCTTCTTCTTGTCCTTCTGCCCCTCTCCCTACCTGTGCTCTCTCTCTCTTTCTCAGATAAATAAATAAAATCTTTAAAGAATATTTTATCTGAGAGGAAGCGTGCCCAAGCCGGGGAGGAGAGGCAGAAGGGGAGGGGTCCAGGGAGAGGACAGAGGGAGAGGGAGAAGCAGGCTCCCCGCTGAGCAGGGACCCCCCCCCCCCGATATGGGTCTCCATCCCGGGACCCTGAGATCATGACCCGAGCCCAAGGCAGACGCTTAATCAACTGAGCCACCCAGGTGCCCCCAGAACTGTGTCTTTTGTGACATGAACCTCTCCTAGGGTTAAAATGTAATATTTTCTAGGAAGCTTCTGGTAGTCTGTGATCCTGTGATATCACAACGTACTGTACAGACTCAGAATTTGATTTTACTGCAACAGAGAATTTAATTTCCTGCATCATCAGTTCTCCCCTCACCACTGGATTATTTTCAGCAGCGTACAGATCTGCTGCACCCACCCATCTTAAGATGCCGTTGCCCTGTGCTCTTCTCCCCTTTGCAGTGAAGCCCTCGTGGCGAGAGTAGGAAGGGCTCCCTGTTGTCTCAGCGTCTGGAACTCGCCCACCAGGCTGCTGCCCCATGGCTCCTACCGGGGTTAACTTCCTGCATCCTTTCCTAGCACTGGACCTGGTTGTCCACTTCCATCACCGGCTTCAAGGACCCCACACTGTGGGGTTCCAGTGACTTCTGGGCTATTTTTTCTTACCCGTGACATCACTTCTGACTTTCGGGGATCACAACCCCCTTTCATCTCTGCAGACCCACTTTAAAAAAGTGTGTGTTTATATGGATGAAATTTATCAGTCTGAGTTTTTCATCCTTTTTAATCATGGTGACTTCTAGGAAGCTTTGATTTCTTTAAGTGTCAAAGGTTATGCTCTGGAATAGTGTTTGTAATTTCTGGCAATTTATGTATTTCATCATTTATTCTCCAAAGTGATCAAATGATAATAACATTTATGACTATTTTATAGTAGATACTTAAATCATCCTGAAAATAAGGTCTAATTGCCATGATGTAATGCTGAAGCCTGAAATTTAAGGGGTCCAGAGACCCACTTTGAATCTCTTGAAAAGCCTGACAAAGTGATCATTACATTCAGTGATATGATTAATTTTAATATTAAATCTACTAAAAATCGCTCTAAAATCTGAATAGAAATTGTGGCTAAATATCCTGTATTTCTGTAGAATTCTTCCCACATTCTCTCTTTTAGGCCCATATTTAACCTTTTATTTTTTATAAGATTTTATTTATTTATTTGACAAAGGTGTGGGGAGAGAGAGAGCACAAACAGGGGAGTGGCAGACAGAGGGAGAGGGAGAAGCAGACTTCTCACTGACCAGGGAGCCTGATGCAGGACTCGATCCTAGGAGCTTGGGATCATGACCTGAGCTGAAGGCAGATGTTTGACTGAATAGCCACCCAGGTGCCCCATATTTAACCTTTTAAAATATATTTAGTTGAAGGTTGTTACTTTTCAGCTTTTGTACCTAAGCCTGCTATCCACGAATGTTTTTTATCTCTTTGTGTCCTTATTAAATCTTTGTCTGTAGATGTGATTCCTCTATAGTTGTGTTATGTACAATTTGGTTCAGTTTTTAGGAATCTCAACATTATTCTGTGATTAATTTTATTAAGTGTTACAGCTAGAATTTTTAATGACTACATCTGTCTGGTTTATTTAATAGTTCCTATCCAGCTGGCTTTTTTATGGTTTCCAGAGTTCCTTAGTTACAAATAAATGCTATTATACAGAATCTTTATAAATGCAATTTTGTTTTTATTTTTAAATTATTGCCTGCTGACAGGTTCCCAGGAATATGATTATACACTCAAAACCAAACCCAGCCTTGCAGTCTTTGAGGTGTTGGGATTGTTCTTTATTTTTTGCCAGTTTTGTTGAAAATAGTTTCATTATTTGAATTTGCATTTCTTAATCTTGAGCAAGGTAAAACTTTCCCTTGTGGATTTAATACTTCTGTTTCCTGTTAGGTGAATTGTCTCTTTCATATTTCTTGTCTGTTTATCTGCTGGGACTTAAGCTTGCATAAGCTCACAGCCCTTTTTGATCAGTCATATCGATTACACATTTGTATAGTGCTTTCCCTTTTATGCTGATTTTGATTTTTCAGCATAGAGAAAATTTTGCCGTCCTTCAGAATATTGCTTTTATGGCCATTCTGGTGAATGATATTTTCTTTTTCTTTTTTAAAATTGTGTGATTACTGGGGTGCCTGGCTGGCTCAGTCAGTAGAACAACTCTTGAGCTCAGGGTTATAGGTTCAAGCCCCACATTGGGTTTAGAGATTACTTAAGAATAAAATCTTTAAAAAAATTGTATAATTGCTTTTGTTTGCTACTGTATTTATAAACAAATTTGTAAATGTAGACATTTCACATTTGTGGCAGACTTGACAGTTCATAAAGGATTTTTGAATGTGTCATTAAAAAATTTTTTTTAAAGATTTATAGGAGAGAGTGTGTGTGTGTGAGTGGCGGGGAGGGGGGTGGGCAGAGGAGGGACAAGAGAGAATCCTCAGGCAGACTCCCGACGCAGGGCTTGATCATGGGGCCCCTGAAACCGTAACCTGAGCCGAAAACAAATCAGACGCTGAACTAACTGAACCACCCAGGTACCCCTTGAATATGTCCTCTTATTTAAATGTCCCCATTGATGATATTTTATCTGTTCCATTTCCATTTTTTTTTTTCCAGACACCCAACAGGGGGATCCTTTATTCGTCCCAACAAAGTAAATTTTGGAGTGGGCTTTCTCACTGCAGTTAAGAATCGCTATGTGTTAGAAGATGGACCAGAGGAAGATGGAAAAGAGCAAATTGTTATAATTGGAAATAAACCCGTGGAAACTATTGGTTTTGACTCTGTTATAAAACAGCAAAGGTATGTAGGCTTGATAGCGGTAGAACTAATTGACGGTTTCATCACTGTTCAGGATTAAAGTTCAGCGGACTATATGTTGATACTCAAAACTTTGCCTCCAAACTGGTCTGTCCTTTCTGCACAAACAGCCAGTTGAAATCAGAGGAATCTGAGGACTGAGTCTTTGGGGAAATTAAAATTCTTAATTTAGCATAGGGTTGTTGGGCTTTTCTGGATTGGAATTAAAACATTACCCATCATTAATATTTATACCAGCCATCTTGTCTAATAAGTAAGATTGACATTTTGGTCCTTTTCTATTTCATGGTGCCATTTCTAGCTGGGTGGTAAGTCAGAAGTGGAAACAGAGGTCTAAGTTGCTACCTACCATGTGGCATGCTGGGTCCTCTAGAACCAAGTTAGTTTCCATCTCTGGATGCACACCCTTTCTTCCCTGGGGTGATTGTGAAGTTGCAGAATCTTGGGTCCCATCCTAGACCTGGATCAGAATACTATGGGCTCTTGCTTTTAAGAAGTACCCAAAGTATTATGAAACTCTCTGTACACTGTGGTTCTGTGAAGAGAGGCCTTCTTCCCACTCCGATGCATGGGCTGAATCACAGTGAGTAGAAGCTGATGTTCCACAGAAACACAACTGCACGAGAACCTTCCAGGTGACTGTCAGTGCTGTGGTGTTTGACCCTGACCCCACAAGGTGGCCTAGTAGCGGCCCCTGGTGGCCACAGTGGAGAGTACATTTCTAGCCACTTGGCTTCTTTCACTTTTCTCTCTAAAAGTCTCTTAAATCAAACTGGGGTTTTGTTGGAAGTCCCTGTATTTGCTATCTTATTTTGCCATTATTGTGAATATCTTATTTTGCCATTATTGTGAAAATTTACACCAGATGTAAAATTTATATGGAGACCGTGTGGAAGAAGAAATTCGTTTCTGGGTGCCTCTGCTTTTTAGCATAGGTGACCAGCATTAGTAATAGCAACAAAATATTCAGGGAACCATCCAAATACCTAGAAACAGAGAATGGATGAATAAGTTATGCTGTATTCATTCGATGGCAGTGAACACGAGCAGCAGCTACCACTCGGTGCAACAGTACGTGTGAAATCTCATTAGTACAGCGTCCAGCCAAAGTAGTCAGCCAGAAAGTGCACCTTGAATGATTTTGTCTCCATGAAGGTCAACACCAGGCGCAACTGATCGATAGTGTGAGAAGTCAGGGTAGACGGTTTTGAGTGAAGGAAGCACAAAGAGGACTTCCTGAGTTCCGGGGATGTGTTTCTTGATCCGGGTGGTGGTGACCTGTGCGTATTTATTTAAAATCACTGAGCTGTGTACCGATGTGTAGGTAGGCTAATCCATATACTTTTCCTATGTGGGATTTTTTTCAATAAAAAATATGTGAAGGAAGAAAACTCAAGGAAATAAAGATTTTTTTTTTAAAAAGCGACCACTGGACTGTGAATTACAAAGCAGCTTACACTCATTGTTGAGGATTTAGAAAATAGAAATTGAACAAAAGGAAGTCGTGACTCATGCTACCACCGAGAGGTAACTGTCATGGATATTTTTTGCTTTTTATCCTACTGGTTTACTTGGATTTAAAGAACTACGTGCTTTATAGGGTTGGAGTTCTTTCCTTCATCTTTCCATTTAAAATGCAACTATTGAAAAAAAAAAAAGTGCAACTATTGAAATATCTTTTACCCCCATAAGAAGCACATTTTTTTCTTACTGGTTAATCTGAATACCCTGGCTTCTGTAAAAATTGCAAACCGATTTTCCTGCCCTAGCTTATGAACGACTGTGTAACTCATGTATTCTTTTGCTGCCTGACCCAGCTACTGGAGGCTCATGGCGTTCCATAATTAGCTAGCATCTCCCTTGGAACTGACTCCGTGTTGGAGTCGGGCTGGGTCAGACGTTAGCTAAGCCACCTTCTAACTCTGACACTTTGCAACTTCTAAGCCTGAGTCTCCTCATTTACGAAACAATAACTAAGCTGTTAGACCTGCTGTGGATAACACTGGAGAGTGGGTAAATAGTGGTCACCAGTGTTAAGGAGGGACAGAATCCTCCCCTTGAAGCCGTCATGTTATCTTCTTAATAATATCCAGCTGACCAGCTCTGAGTTTGTGCCCCTTAAGACTTACGGAAAAGGAATTAAAAAAAAAAAAACAATAAAAACCAGCATGTGTGACTTCTCTTGCAGATGGCTCTGGCTCCGGAGTGAGGTCTGTGCTGAGACCCGGGCTCCCACACTCTCTAGCGAGGTTTCCCTGGGCCCTGCAGCCAACTCCGCAGGCACAGTGAGATATTTTTAATTTTAGAGGGAAACAGTGGCCTCTGTTGCACACAGAACAAACTATTAGTTTGAGGTTGTTCAGTTCTGTGATAATCCTACAAGTCCTTTTATTGCTGTCCCATCCCCGCAAAGCTGGGGTTTTGGTGTTCCTGTGATAAAAAGCGAGTATCTCCTGAAAATCATCATGAAACAAGAAATGAACGTAGTGATGTCCAGTCTGATTCCAGGGTTTGGGAAGTTGTGCTAGGCACAACTGACACTTACTGACAGTAAGTTTGAAGGACACAAATAATGATTAAGTTGTTTGGCCCTAACTACTTACTAAATGCAAATTCGATGTGATTTGTTTTGTTCTGTATGACTTACGGGGACACTGAAAAAAATGCAACACCAAGGGCACTGTCAACTTGAGCCAGTTTGGGAGCCCCTAGACCTTTGTTGCTGCCTTTCTCCTGGTTTCTCATGACTGTAATAGCACATGCCTGGGGTTTCGATGGGAGAATTTCCCCCAAAGGCGGTCAGTTTTTCGTTTGTTTTTATAAATACTTACAAAATAACTTCTGTATGTCAGGCAGTGTTCTGAGATTTCACAAATACTAATACGGCATTTAAAAAATTATAAAGAGCACAACACAGAGTTTACCATCTTAACCATTTTTAAGTGTATAGTTTGGTAGCGCTAAGTACATTCACAGTGTTGTGCAGCTGTCCTCACTGTCTATCTCTAGAACCCTCCCAAAATGAGACTCTGTCCTGCTTAAACAGCAGCCCCCAGCCCGTGGCAGCCACCATGCTACTTTCCGCCTCTGTGAAGTTGACTCCTCTAGGGACCTCACAAGTGGAATCCCACAGTATTGTCTATTTATGATTGGCTTCTTTCCCTTGTCATAATGTCCTCAAGTTTACTCACTTTGTGTCATATGTCAGAATTTCCTTTCTTTTTAAGGCTGGGTAATATTCCATTGAATGGACGTACCACACTTGGTTCATCCATTCATCTATCGATGGACACCTGTAGCCCCTTTGGCTACGGTGGTAATGCTGCTGTGAATATGTGTGTGTAAACCACAACATTTTAAAGCTGTGGAATCTGAGGTACAGAGATTCTAACTCCCCTCAGGCCAAAGGAAGTGGTGCACTTGGAATTTGAACTCAAGCGATGGGGCTCTGGATTCCCTGTTCTAGATACCGTATGGGCTCTTTCAGTGATCAGAAAATGCAGGTCCTCTGCACTTAGAATGTGGCTTCTGAGATTTATCTACTAAAGCTGAAGATACGCATGCTTTCCTCACCCTAGAGAGACTTTCCACGTATGAATGCGAGAAGCATACGACAGTGTTTACTTCAGCCCTGCTGGGAATAATATAACTGTCAGCAGAGGAGTAAACAGATTAATTGTAGTCTCCAAGATGTGGAAACAAATGCTCTGGAGCACATGGGTTGACGTAGCTAAATCTCACTGCTGAACAACATACTGTTGGGGGAAAGTAGCTTGGAGGAGGATACATACACTAGGATACCATTTATATCCCCTTTCATTATAGATGAAATGCTGTGATTGTTTAGGGACATGGAAACGTGCAGACTATTCCGTGCTTCCGTTTAAACAAACACCAAGTGTGGGGGAGCAGAGGAGGAAGGAACATGCTGGAATGGGACACGAAGGACTTCAGCTATATTTGTAGTGTCTGTAACACTTTCTTTTTCTTCTCTTTTTAGTAAAGCGTTATTTCTGAATCTGGCTGGTGGGTACTGGTATTGGTTATTTTTGGTAACTTCTTACAGGAAATGCTTTTTAACTTTTTAAAGGGCCAGTGGACGTGTCCATGTTTATCCATACGTGTGAACTCTGTGTTTTTCATGCAGTCAGCTGAGCAAGTTGCAAGAAATTTCTCTGAGGAACTGTGCCGTGAATGGTGCTGGTGACAAAGGAGCAATTGCCAAAGCGTGTCCTAGTATCCTTTTCACTGAGAACCTGACTTTGGACTTGAAGCTCATGTGGGACACAGCCAGGAACCTTCCCGGTGTCTGTTCTCCCCAACTTTCTTCCTCAGGGCCTCTCTGGCTTCCCTGTGCCAGTCGCCTTGATAGGAGATTATTTATCTTCCCAGATCCCTCTGCCTTCAGGTGAGGCAGCGGGCCTCCCCCCAGCCAAGGAAATGTCTGGATAGGGCTCCTCACACAGGCCGGACGTGGCTGGCACCTGCCTTCCGCCCCAAGCCGTTAGCCTGCTCCTGAGTGCAGACAGAGCACCCAAGCACCCAGGCAGCCGTCTCGTGTGCAGACCATCCAGTGTGGACAGGGAGAGAAAGGGGGAGCCGGAGGCCTCGACCACACCCCGGGGCCCCCCACACCAGCCCACCTGGACCGCCTTCCTGTTTCACGCAGCTGTGTGTGATTTGTCACGATCCCTCAAAACAGGCCCTTCCAAAGTTTGTAATCCTTTTCTCTGCCTTCTCTTAGAAGAGTTTTTGGTTTGTGTTTACCCTACATTGCTTTCATGTCCACAACTAAGAATACAGGAGATGAGTTTAAATGAAAAATCCCCCTGGCAAATGAACGAGATTTTCTCGAACTTTCAAAGGTTTTCTCTCAATTCTTTAAGCCTGCCTCATCTCTGTGTAATAATTTATGCCCAAGATAGTTTATAATCCATGTTCTCTGGGGGAAGAGACGGCTCATGGGCAGTAGTCTCTAGCCAGCTATTCTGAGCTGTCCCTGTACTGCATGCTTTGTGACTCCCTCAGTCGGGACCCGGTCACCTTGCCTGTGAGCAGCCCCTCTGTGGGCCCCAGCAAGCTGAACCGGTGCTGTCCCTTTCCCCATGGACAGTGGAAGCATTGTGGATGGAGTAGTTGGGTAAGGAGCAGAATGCCACGGGCAGCGTCTGGAACATTCTGTGATCTGCCCGGCCAGCTACTAAGTGATTTTAGAAGATTGGGAATTGGGTGGTTCAAGACTTATTTTCAGCATATCGGAGATATGGCCAGTAGGTGGGTTTGGGAACGGCGACTATTTGCTCAGAGTTGTCAGCAGGGTCCTGGGGAGTCAGCATCTCGCTTGCTGATGCTGTTCTTTCCTGCGGAGAACATCCCGAGTCTTGAAGAAATGCGGTTTTGTGAGATGATCAAGGGAGGGCTGATACTTGCAGGTATAGAGATCGATGTCTTCCAGTTGCTGATTGAATTCTCGCCTGCAGTGAAAGTCTTGTCGGTGTCTAATCCAGTTGTCCCTTTGGAGTGGCCCCGTTTGAGGTCTCTCCCTCTGCTGGGACATCAGGCTGCAGGAACGCGGAGGCCCTGAGCTTGCCAGGCCTGGGAAGCTCCTCCGGAGAGGGGATGAGCTTCTTCCTGCTTTGCCAGCTGGCTCTGTGCCAGGGGAGTCTGGGCCTGCGAGCGGGAACCAAGTACCGCCGACAGATCCTTGGCCTGTGCGTGTGTGTGTGCGGGGCACTGCGCAACAACTGCCAGCTTGTTTAGAGCTGATTTCAGAGGGCGGGTCGTCTCTGTGCTCTGGATCACCAGAAGGTGTCTGTATAACCCTGCCCTACGGGATGGAGAGTATGAGCGAGTGAAGGATTACTGGACCCCTGCCCTTGCTGACCAGCCCCGTGGTCCAGAGCTAGCAAGCAACATCACGGAAATGAAAGGTGGCTGGAGCCTGACCGTGAGGCATGAAAGCACCCTGCCCAGAAGTTGCAGGCGGGTCCAGACCCGCCAGAAGCTCCCATTTCAGTCAGAGACTAGCCAAGATTTCCTGGCCTAGGTGTGGCCTGAGGTGTGGCCTAGCCCCTGCGGCCTTTGTGCCCTCGTTTCCAGAACCTCCCACTCCCTTTATCTAAACCTGTTCTAACTTCAGGGCCTCCGCTTGTCTCGTTCTCTCTGCCCAGATGCTCTTCTCCCTGATGGTATTCCTCTTTGCCTGTGGTCTCCGCTCAGATGGCACCTTCTCCGAGAAGATGGTCTTCCACGACCAGCGTATATAACGTAACCACACACCCCTCTCTTGTGTCTTTGGCTGCTACTGTGAGCCTGTCTGTAGGTGGCATACTGCAGAGGCACGTGCTTATCGCTGTCTCTCCGACTGTGACTGTTGAGTTCGCTGCTCTACTCTTGGCTCCCTCCCCACAGTCGTGGAACAGAAGAATGAATGGTTCCCAGCACAGCAGAGTTGTGCAAAAGACCCTCCTTCAGCAGGTCCAGTCCTGCCCCAAGCTTCTCTTCTGTCTCTCTGCCTGGGGGTTCAGAGCTGCGCCCCCTCTTGATGGCACCGTGCTCCCTTGAGATGTTCAGCTCGGGTGCCTTTTTCTGTCCTGCTTGTTTCTCCTTCTCTGAATTCCCAAATCATTCTCAGCACTTCAGAACCTTTGTCTGCACTAACCCCCATGGTCTGTTCTGGAGCTGTGGCTGGGGACTTGGGGGTTCTTGCGGGTTGGAGCAGAGTGAGGCCCCACAGGAGAATGACACGTGGCTATGAGGCAGCCGCTGGGGGGATTGCCTGGCACGAGACATAAAGCAAACTCACCACCATTGTTCTTTTTTTTTTTTTTTTCACTCTTTTTGTTGGATATTGCTAGAATGGTTTCACCTTGGTTAGGACCTTTGGTTCGTTCTTACTTGATTCTAGAGGTTTGTCTCAAATTTGCAGCATATGACAGTGAATGTTTTAGTTTCTCAACGAAGAGTGGGTGACTTACAAAGGTAAAAGTAGCATGTGCTCCTGAAAACATTTCAAGCAGCATGGAGGGTGTAAGGTGAGAAGGTAAAGATGCCTGCTCCGGAATTCAGAAGTGACGACTGTTCTGTTTTGTGTGACTCTTTCCATCTTACTCTTCCTTGATGGGTGCTTTGAGATATCAGAAAAGTAGATTTGTCAAGAAACCTGTTGTCCTCGTGGGATGAAGTCCTAGATATTGCTGATCAGCTGAAACATCTGGAAGTTCTTAATCTCAGGTATGAGCTCATGGGTGTCCATTTGTCACCTGTTATGAAAACCCCAACATGTCCTCATTCCCTCATGGCATCTCTGTGGGAGAGAGGGAAACACAGCTCAGTGAAATTTAAGCTTAATTATTTCTTCTTCTTCTTCTTCTTCTTCTCCTTCTCCTTCTCCTTCTCCTTCTCCTTCTTTTTTTTAAGCTAGACCTTTTTAATTTTGTTTTGTTTTGTTTTGAGTGCCCGTGAGTTGGGGGCAGGGGTAGAGGGAGGGATAGTCTTAAGCAGGCTCTATGCCCAGCGTGGAGTGCAACTCGGGACTTGATCCCATGACCCTGAGTTGATGATCCGAGCAGAAAATGAGTCAGACACTTCTTAAAAAATCAATTTATTTTTAAAATTTTAATTTTTAAATTGTTCCATTAGCCAACATATAGTACATCATCAGTTTTTTTTTTTTTTTAAGATTTTATTTATTTATTTGACAGAGATCACAAGTAAGCAGAGAGGCAGGCAGAGAGAGAGAGGAGGAAGCAGGCTCCCTGCCGGGCAGAGAGCCTGATACGGGGCTTGATCCCAGGACTCTGGGATCATGACCCAAGCTGAAGGCAGAGGCTTTTAACCCACTGAGCCACCCAGGCGCCCCCATCATCAGTTTTTGATGTAGTGTGTGTGCAGCGTTTCATTAGTTGCATATAACACCCAATGTTCATCACAACACGTGACACTTAACTGGACCACCAGTTACTTATTACTTATTTATATTTAAGCTTTCCCCCCAACGAGGGACTCAGAGTCTCAACCTCAGGATAAGAAGAGTTTCATGCTCTATTGACTGAGCTAGCTAGGCGCCCCTTTTCTGGGGGATTGGAGGGGGGAGTCTTTTGGTTGACTGAGGGAGGGTTGGCCTGTCAAGCTGGGAGATCTTGGTGTCTCTTGTGAGGCTACCCATGAAGGATGGGCCTTCTGGGGGAGTCAGTATTTAACTGGGGAGTAGGGGAGGGGCTGTGAAGAGTGCTTATTTGTTCCGAAGCTTCTGGCACTTGATTGCTGTAGGAATGAGCAATTTCGTTGGAATGCTGTCTCCTTCTGTTCTGATAAGGATTGTCCACCAAGCTGCATGTTTCACTAATGGCCCCATCTTCCGGGCCTCTTCCACCGCTTGGTTAGTTTCAGTCTTAGAACCTGATTCCCCGAGGGCTCAGCCAGGTGGGAAATGTGAAAGTCCTCGAGCCAGCCTGGGGTGGACAGGTGGCTGGTACCTGGCTCAGGCGGTTCAGTGAGAGCGGAGAGTCAGGCCTGAATCAGCGGTGCTCCAGATAGGGCAGAAGGTGTCCTCTGACCCCCGGCATCTCCTCTTCTGGAAATAGGGGCTCATGTGTTTTCATGGAATCTTCTTTCAAAATGACTCCTTGTCATTGTCAGGATTGAGCACTATCTGAGATCAGGATCACAAGAGAGCACCAAGAAGGCAGTGACTGATTTTATCCATCCTGATAGCGAGAGAGTGGTTTCGAGACCCTGGAGGAGCGGGACTGTAGCCCCCGGGGCAGCCTATATCAGTAGGGCAGTTGAGAGGGCACTGGATTTTGTGGTGTCCAAACTCTGCCTTGCGAAGCTGGACACTGACCTTACGAATGCCTGAGGCTTAAGCTCCAGCCAGCTGCCCTGGCCCTCGGAGAACATCTGTGGATGTCAGCTACCAAAAAGTCGTGCATTGCAAATACTAAAAATGAGGTAGCCTGGACTCCCTTGGCTTTGAATTAATTTCGCTTTAAGGTCAAACCAAACCAAATGCCTGCTATTAAATCCCAAGTTGTTGGGCGCCTGGGTCGCTTGGTTGAGCGACTGCCTTCGGCTCAAGTCATGATTCTGGAGTCCCGGGATTGGGTCCCCCATCGGGCTCCCAGCTCCATGGGGAGTCTGCTTCTCCCTCTGACCTTCTCTCATCTCAAGCCCTCTCTCACTCCCTCTCTCTCAAATATATAAATAAAAATCTTTAAAAAAATCCCAACTTGTTGTTTTTAGGGACTTTCACTTGGGCCTCCTGGGTAGTGGGTGATCAACACGTTGTCACTTCTTTCCCTACACAGTGAGAATAAACTCAGCTTTCCCTCGGGTTCACCAGCTCGAACCGGAACATTTCCTGCACTGAAGGTTTTAGTCCTTAACCGAACAGGAATAACATGGGCGGAGGTAATCCTATTTCTCCAGTTTATCACCCAGAAATAAGAAATTTAAAATTCTTGGCTTAATAGGGAACGGAAGCACACCTGTGGCTTGGTTTTAATTATCCTGTTACCCAAATAATAGGATTCTTTAAACTGCCTCACTGAAAGGAGTTACAGAATCATTGCAGTGAAGTAAAATTTTGTATTTTGGAATTGGGATTTTCTCTCTCGGCTCCTTCTGGATTGTTCTGGTGTCTTTCTGGACTGTAGCACTCCATAGTGGGGTGGAGTTAACCTACGCCGAACTTGAAGAGCCCTCGACTTAGCTGTTGATGGAGCTTCTCCGCATGTGCTCCAAGGCAGAGCTGCCAGAAGATTCTCGCATCCTTTTCTCGTTTAAAGTTTAGCTCTGGAATCCACTGTTCATCGTGTACAGCTGGGTTCAAAGTGGACTCGTGGGTATTTTGCCTGGTAGCATTTGGAACTTCTATCTGGCACTGCTGTTTTCCATCAGAGGTGACCAGTATATGTGCCTAGTATATTCTGTTTTCACAGATACGTACCTTCCCCACAAAGTCCTTGTCTTTGAAATGCCACTGAGGTGCCTCCCGTAGAGACCAGTTGCCTTTACTGGTGCGCGTACGTCCTAGTGCTCCTTCCTCCAACATGGGATTAGAGTTAGCCTGAGAACAGGCAGGGCACATAGAAATTCAGGTGCTAGAGATGGTGGTGAAGTTCAAGTGCGAAAACGCAGAAATAGTTTGGAAAACGCCGTCTGATGAGTGTATTCTTTGCACACCCGGGTCGGCAGTGGGAACTGAGCAGCGGTGTTTAACATCAAGTTCCTTCCTTCGCTGGAGCAAACTACGTCACGTGCTAAGAGTGTGCGCAGTGCATGTCTGCACATCCACTTTGCAGTCCTCGTACAGTTCAAGACCTCCCTGGAGGATGCATTCACAGCTGCCAGAGCGCCGACTGATTATGCTCCCATGTCATCGAAACACTTTGTCGCCGGCCCACCAGTGCTCCCGGACCAAGTTAGAGTCCGTGATGGAGTGTCCATAGGACATTTTGTTTCTAAAACAGTAAGGGAGCTGAGTTAAATTAGAGATAATAGTAATTAACACACAGGAAGAAACGTGTAAGAGAGGCTGCTCCAGCCTGAACTCCGTTTCTCTCCAGGTGCTCCGGTGCGCCGCTGGGTGGCCGGTCCTTGAGGAGCTGTACCTCAAGTCTAACGATCTCCTCATTTCGGAAAGGTAACAAAGGCTTACTTCTGTCTGTGTTTCGCCGTGTAGTCTGAATAAATGAATAGTCTCGATGATGCCTCACACTGGTTTTTCTTTTTAAAGGATTTGCCAGTGAGAATTAGAAACCTGCTTATTCTTTACAAAGTAGGGCGCCTGTGATCATTGGTCCTGATTGAGGAAAAGCCCATCAGAGTGAGAGCCTTGAGTTAAATATATTTGAAGACAAGAATTTTATTAGTTTCACAGAAATATATTTAATTTCTGTTTCTAAATGGAGTTTCTGTAAGAAATGCTTTATAAGGGTCAAATAATGCATTTTAATCTTTTTTTCAAATAATGCGTTTTAGGTAACATTATCTGCAGAAGGTTGCTGTACCAGAGTATATATAAAAGTTTGTTCTCCTTAAGTAAATTAAACATGTTGTCTTTCTCTTTTGTTGATTATCATTAAATTATTATTAAAACTAAACACGGGCAAATTTACAACAAATTCTCATTGAACAGATTCAAGTTAATGAGATTTTACTGTATGGAACTATTTTCTATACAGACAACTGCAGATGTTTTTATTTTTGTTTTAAAATATTTTATTTGTTTATTAGGGAGGGAGGGAGAGCAAGTGAGTGGGGGAGGAACAGAGGGAGAGGCACACACAGCCCCATTCGGGGCTCGATCTCATGACCCAGAGGTTATGACCTGAGCCAAAACCAAGAGTCGGACACTCAACCGACTGAGCCACCAGGTGACCTAGGTGTTTGAAGACACCTAGCCACCTAGGTGTTTTCAAATTACACTTTATATTTTGAGATAATTTGAGATTCCCATGCAGTTACCAGAAAGACTACCCAGAGATCCCCTGTACCCAGGAGCCAGATCCACGCCCTCGGTAACATCTTGCAGAGCTGCGGTTCCATATCACAGGCAGGGTCCTGACATCGGTCCAGTCCAGACAGAGAACGTTTCCATCACCATCAGGGCCCCGCGTTTCCCTGGTGTGGTGCTGTCCACCTGCCTCCCGCCCCTCCCTCTCCTTTACACTCAAGGCAGGTACTTTAAAGCTGTATCTTCAAAAACAATTAAGAGATGAAATTCACGTTGAAATGTTTTTAATTTCCATACAGGCCGGCTGATGTCCTGCAGACAGTCAAGTTATTAGACCTTTCCTCTAATCAATTAATTGATGAAAATCAGCTGTTTCTAATAGCCTATCTGCCCAGGTAATTTGCTGCTTCAGTGCTGCTTGCAGTAGTGCTTAGAAATGGTTAGTAAATGGATCACATCCTATCTTTGCTTTCTCGGTGGAAATGTGATGATGATGATGGTGGCAATCACAAACTGAGGAAGTCCCTTTGGGACATTTTTATTTGCATTTATGCGGACCATGTCCCTGCAAACCGCATACACTTGAGTCTACATCTGCACTAGGTGACTGAAGAATGAATAATTTGGCCCTCGTGCTGATGTCCAAAGTCTTCATTCATTGCCTTTTGGGAAGTTAGACCATGTCTCTTTCCTCTCTGAGACCCATGAGCACGTAGCACAGCCGCGGGCACCAGGAACCGGTAGGCGACTGTAGAACCCTCAGAGCACGTTCTAGAGTCCACTCTGTGTGCCCCATACTTCACTGTTTCTCAGCGTTTCATGTGGCATGAGAACCTAGGGTGTGGGGGAAATATTACAGACGCAGTCTGGTTGATAGACTGTAGCATTTTCTACTGTGCTTTATAATCAAATTTAACATTTTAAATTTCAGATTAGAACAACTCATCCTTTCTGACATTGGACTTTCTTCTATACGTTTTCCAGATGCTGGAACTGGTATATGAGATCATTAGCTCCCCTCCCCTGCCCAGTACCTCATACTTAAGCTCTTTCTTTCACTTCTCCTGTGTAACTTCGTTCTCCTTTTTTCTCTAGGGCATAAGACTTCCATGTTTCCTTCCTTGCAGTACCTCGTCGTGAATGACAATCAGATCTCACAAGTAAGAGCTTCTGTGGAATGTATGTACCTCATGAGCCCTCGTTTCCACTCTCAGGAGAAGTTCGTCAGTTCCTTCCATTACAAAATATTTACTTCATTTTAAAAATATGCTTTATAAAGTTAATTTTACTTGCACTATAGTTAACATGCAGTGTTGTGTTAGTTTTAGGTGTATAGTGACCCCACCCTTCCACACATTACTCAGGTCTCATCAAGCTAAATACACTTTAGTCTACACTCTCTTTCCCCCATCTCCCATTCACCTCCCCTCTGGTGACCATCAGTTTGGGCTCTATAGTTAAGAGTCTTTTTTTTTTGTTTGTTTGTCTCTCTCTCTTGTTTGTTTTGTTTCTTAAATTCCATATGAGTGAGATCATACAATATTTGTCTTTCTCTGATTGACTTACTATGCTTAGCATAATACCCTCCAGCTCCATCCATGTTGTTGCAAATGGCAAGATTTCATTCTTTTTTTTTTTTTAATGGCTGAGTAATATTCCATTGTATGTACGTACATCTTCAGTCATCAGTCAGTGGACACTTGGGCTGCTTCTGTGGTTTGGCTGTTGTAAATAATGCTGCTGTAAACATAGGGTTGCATGTATCCCAAAGTTAGTGTTTTGTATTTTTTGGGTAAAGACCCAGTGGTGCGATTACTGGATCATAGGGTAGTTCTGTTTTTAACTTCTTGAGGAACCTCCATATGATTTTCCACAGTGGCTGCACCAGTTTGCATTCCCACCACCAGTGTGCAGGGGTTGGGGGGGTTCCCTTTTCTCCACATCTTCGCCAGCACCTGTTGTTTCTTGTGTTGTTGATTTTAGCCATTCTGACAGGTGTGAGGTGATCTCTCATTGTAGTTTTGACTTGCATTTCCCTGATATTGAGTGATATTGAGCATCTTTTCATGTGTTGGCCATTTGGATGTCTTCTTTGGAGAAGTGTCTGTGTATGTCTTCTGCCCATTTTTCATTGAATTATTTGTTCTTTGGGTGTTGTGATTGCTAAGTTAGATACTCTTTATTGGGTGTGTTATTTGCAAATATCTTGTCCTATTCTGTAGGTTGCCTTTTAGATTTGTTGCTGGTTTCCTTCGCTGTGCAGAAGCTTTTCATTTTGACATAGTAAGAAATATTTTAAATTGAAAGAGAAATGCTTCCCCTCAGAAAACCCTAAAGTATTAAGAACTTAATTTAAGTCATAGTAAGCAGACTGTCATTGTACATGACATGGTTCTAGAGTAAAAGTGTGTGGTCTTCCCAGTGGGTGCTCCATGCGTAAGGACAATCCTGCACCTCGGGTTGGAACGAGGGGTTTTTGCTTTTCTCTTGCTTGTTCAGATACTCCAAGAAATGAGCCTGAAACATGTTTATTTTCACGTATTCTCTTTTGCTGGGTTTCAGTGGTCGTTTATCAATGAGCTGGATAAGTTACCGAGTCTGCACGCTCTGTCCTGCAGCAGAAACCCCCTGACGGAAGAGAACAAAGCAGCACATACCACGCGTGGGCTCATCATCGCCAAAATCGGTCAGTTGAAGACCCTGAACAAATGCGAGGTGAGTGCTGGTTTCAGGATCTGATGCCTCTTAGAACAGGAAACACATGATCAGAATCGTCCTGCGCCTGAAGCATGGTGGCTCTTCCGGGCTCCTCAGGAGGTGGCGTCCCGGAGAAGCCTGTTGCTTGGCGGCCTTGAGAAGGGGCCGGGCGTGTCAGGGGTTTGCTCCTTTGTCTTGGGGGAATTACAGGAGGAAGAGCCAGAGAGCTTGTCCTCTTCTTCTCAGCCACTGCCCTCCAGAAATTGCGGGGGCAGGGCCTTGCTGCCGGGCCGCCTGCCGGGAACAGTGTGCTCCGGGGCGGGGCGGGGGGGCACCCTCGGGCCGGACGCCGGCTGTGGACACTCTCGTGAGGAAAATGTAGGACGAAGTTCTCACCTCCTTGCGCTGTCAGCTCCTGAATCCTGTCCCTGTTGGAAGGGACGGTAAGAAGAGATGCCCCGTCGCTCTCCGTGTGATGACCGTCCCTCAGCCAGCGGCAGGGCAGGGCACAAAGCACAGACCGCGTTTGTCCCGCAGATCCCGCCGGAGGAGAGGCGCGGCGCCGAGCTCGATTACCGGAAGGCGTTCGGCAACGAGTGGAAGGCGGCGGGCGGCCACCAGGACCCCGAGCAGAACCGGCCCCACGCGGAGTTCCTCGCGGCGCATCCCCGGTACCAGTCGCTGTGCCTCAGTACGTTTGCGGGCCGCAGCCCTCCCGCTCCGCCCCCGCAGCCCCAGCCGCGGGGCGTTGGAGGGGACCCTCGGTGGCCCTGCTGTTCTTCGGGGCGTGGTGGGGTCCTCCCAACGGGCCTGAGTGCGATGCTGGGGCCGCGTCCGCAAGCCCAGGAGCCAGACTCGAACCGGCCTCTTCAGGGCAGAGTCCGCAGCCTCGCTCCGCAGAGGGAGCGCGGGGAGTCTGAGGCCTCCTGGAAGGGCGAGATCGGCATCGGGGTGCTGGGGTGGGGGTAGCCCTGCGGTGGAAGCCCCTCCTGTCTGCCCGAGTCCCCCCCCCACCGGCTTCGCGCCGCGGGAGGGCGGGCGACCCCTCCTTGCCGGGGGGCAGGAGCAGCGGCGGCCCTGGCCGAGCCTGCGGATCTCGCACGCGCGGAGCGTGTTAAGGTCGAAGCCCGGCCCCGGTGTTGCTGAAGCTCCCCGGGCAGTGGTGACCAGCGTGTCCGGTCCCCTCCGCGCGGCTGGAGGGCGCCCCTACCCCCGGCCCTCTCCGCCCCCTACCGGGGCTTCCTTACCTTCCCCGCCTGGGTCCTCAGGCCCTGAAGCCCCCACTTGGCGACTCTGTCCCTGCCGTCCTCCCCGTTTTGACTTAGTCGTCACTCCAGATGTCACGTTCTTTCTCAAACCCGTTTCCCGGTGCCGCTCGCCGCATTGCGCTCCGGCTGGGGCGCTGGCCGTGAGGACGCAACGCCGCCTGGGGGGCGCTTTCCGATCCCGGCCCGGAGCTGCCCGGTTTCCCGCTGCTTCGGGGAGCCCGAATCACGTGGGGGCGGGCGGGGGAAGGGAGCTTCTGTCCCGCAGCCGCGCGGGTCGGGCTCGGTGTGGCTGCTGAGAAGGCCCTGAGGGGAGACACGGCCTCTCGCGCGGCCTTGAGAGAAACGCAGGCCCCGGTGGGCCCCGCATGAGTCCGCGCAGGCGACGCCTGCCCTCCCCCTGCGGCCTCTTGACGCCGCTTTTCCAGGCGGGGGCTGGGCCCGGGCACCCAGCCTGGCATAGCGCCATCTGGCTGACACCTGAAGGTGTCCCTTGAGTTGTGTCCCATCTGGTCCCGTGGTTCTGTGAGGCGCCGGGGTGGGGGTTGGGCTGGCCGTGGCCGTCCCCCTGCAAATAAGTAAACAAGTAGTCTAGTGAAGGGGACAGGTCCCAGGTGAGCGGAGCAGCTGCTCCCGGAAGGAAAAGGCTACGGGGGTCCTTTTGGCGCCTGTATTTTTCCTTCTAGGGGCCTGGTTTATCCTGATCCGTGTTTATGCTTCTTGCACAGAATACGGTGCGCCCGAAGACGGGGAACTCAAGACACAACAGCCGTTTTTGCTCAAAAACCAACTACTAAGTAAGAACCGCACACTCAAAGACCGCTTACTTGTATGTGCGTCTTTGGGCGCCGACACAGATGGGAACGGTTGCTTTCTCTTAAGGAGGTACCTGGAGTAACCCAGTTTTGAAAGAAAGGATGAATTCTGGAACATCTCTGAGTTGTATCACAAGTTTTGGCAGTTCCCATGCTTTCAGCTCAACTGTTAGAAACTGGGGCGGGGTGTGTGAGAAGTGTGCTGACTTGTGGTTTGTAAATGTGTGACTTTCTTACATGGGGACGCCAGCTACACAGTCAGGCCAGGAGTCGGATGGGAGCAGGGGAGGCACTGGAATGTTGGCCCAGCGCTTTCTGTTGTTAATTCTGTGAATAATTGTTGTTAATCGTTAATTCCGTGAAGAATTAGTAGAAGGAATTTTCAACATCAGTAAGAGCTGTTCCTGTATTAGGATCTGGGCCTGGTGGTCTTACAGTTGGATCCTGGGGCAGGTGCGGTTCAGGTGTGTGCAGTTTGAACCCTTATTACGCTAGCTCTCAGTCTTTTTCCTTTTTCTCTTTCAAGCACTGAAGATAAAATATCCTAATCAAGTTGATCAGAAAGTCCTAGAGAAACAACTGCCAGGTAAGAAAAACAGGACTTTTGTCTCCTTACACTTAGGAATCACTGGTCTAGGCATGAGTCAGCTGGTAGAGAGTATCTAGAAGCTCCATTTGGAGCTTCTAGGTTTTCACTAACCTTTTATGATCTAAAATACAATGTGTCCTTCCCCCCAAACGCTCAAGTCTCCCGTACCCGTATCAGCTTGTGTAGGAAAGTCTTGTTAAACAATGACCTATTTAGCCAAAGGCACGAGTGCGGAGCGGCATGGCCTTTCCCGAGCCCACCGCTGTTTAGTGCCCAAGTTGTGGCGCTGGTCCAGAGAGCCTCACTGGGCCTGAGGTCTTACCGTTCCTTCGTAAAATAGGAAACCTGTCTTGGTGAGCTGAAGTGTGAATTACTTGGACATTGGTGACTTCACATACACTCTGCTCCTTGCCAGTTAGGAATCCCTGCAGAAAGTTCTCAGATGTGGTCTTTTAATGGACACACTGAAATGGTTTTCTTTGGAAAAACGACTCCAGAACTCTGTCTAAACGTCACTATTACTGGAATGGAATTAGCTTCATCCCGAAAATACTGTTATGTCAACCAACTAGATTGATCTAATATACTTAGAATTACAGTCTCTCGGGTGTACTGAGCCTTGTCAGATGGAAGCCCGCCTCATGGTGAGAGAGTGGTACGGACGAGTTAAGTGTGGAGCAGCGAGGCTCTGAGATGAAATGTGTAGTGCCCTAAGCGACTCTCATAAAATACTTTGCTTGTGAGTGGAGTAAATTCACATTTTTAAAATGTCTGCTTTGTAGCACTTATAATGGCAAATTCCCCCACCACCTGATTGCTCACCAGTGGGGAAGGGGAAGGGCCGAGTAACCCCCGGCAGCTCCATGCCCCACGGTCAGGCAGCAGGAGCGAGCGCGCAGGGGTCTAGGGTCGACTGTGCAGTATCGCTGCCATGAGTCGCCATTTAAATTGAAATTCATTAAACTGAAGTAAAAAAATTCAATCCTGAGTCGTCCTGACCCCGTGGCCCTTCAGGGTCTGGCCAGCTGCATGGACGGCTGGACGAGAAAGCAGCACGTAGGGTTAGGACATCACGAAACCCACCCGTCCTAACAACCGGAGAAAAGCCTGGAAGTGTAGACCCCCATTGAACTTCCACAGGGGGCCTAGGAAGCCACAAACCATCTCCACATTTTCTGAATGTTAAGACAGTTGTGTGTTATGTTGACATTAGAAATGGTAATAGTATTTAGAGCATTACGGGCAAATTGCCATCTTTTTCTGTAGACCCAGTGCAGTGTAGACCCAGATTTCTTACTAGGATTCTTTTTTTTTTTTTTTTAAAGATTTTATTTATTTATTTGACAGATAGAGATCACAAGTAGGCAGAAAGGCAGGCAGAGAGAGAGAGAGGAGGAAGCAGGCTCCCTGCCCAGCAGAGAGCCCGATATGGGGCTCGATCCCAGGACCCTGGGATCATGACCTGAGCCGAAGGCAGAGGCTTTAACCCACTGAGCCACCCAGGCGCCCCTTACTAGGATTCTTGTACGGCCAAAGTGTTTGTTTCTGACATGACTTAGGAATGGGTCCTTTCCCGTTGCTCTTGACCCATCACTAACCACCCTCGGAACAGTGAAACCTGGTCCACCAAAATCTGTAAGAAGGACAAGATTATCTACACATATTCACAGACAAAAGAACAAGTTATGTGAAGTATGTCAATTGTTTATATTCAACACATAAACAAGGCCAGTTTTTATTCTAAAATAAAGATAACATTTATTATCACAAGTTGCATAAAAACACAGCTTTACAAAAATCATTTTTGATAGAAAAATAGTTGAATACATGTGATATTTGTAGGAACACCATACTATTGCTGTACCTCCAGCTAAAGCTTCAAAGAAACTATATTTCTCATCATCAAAATATCCAGTATTTACCACAACCCATCTTTGGAAAGAAGTTCATAGCGTTTTCTGAACAAACCAAGGCATCTGCTCATGAGGCAGGTCCCACATCACAATCTCACAGACCGGTCCCTGCCTCATTCCACAGAGGAGGAAACCAAGGCAGAACCATGGAGAGGCGCCCTCTGGACGCCTGAGCCCCCATGCCAGCATTCTCGCTGCCATCTGTAAGCGAGTCATCAGAGGTTTAGAAAGTAAATGATTTTACTCAGATTTACTCCTCTGTGCAGAGAACGGGATTTCTGGTTTATTCAGATGGAGTAAATGTTTGCCACCAGTGAAATGGAATCCCACTGTCAAAGGGCACTTAGGTCAAACCCTAGCTCAGTTCCCCACGTGTTGGGTCAGCGGTGTGGAACCGGCTCTCGGGGTGCATGGGGCAGGCGAGACTTTCCCTAATGATGTCCACGGGAAAACGGATACCGTGAGTCGTTGCGACTGTGGTCTTGTCACATGAGCTAGATTGACACATGTCATTTGAGAGAACTGAGGGTGTTTTTCTTTGACAGACTCCATGACAATTCAGAAGGTGAAGGGACTGCTGGCCCGTCTTCTCAAAGTTCCTGTGTCAGAACTGCTGCTCTCCTATGAAAGCCCCAAAGTAAGTAGCCCACAGAACAGAGTCTGGCTGAGTCCCCCTAGTGTGACACATTGTGAATCTAGGGCTCCATGTGACACGTATTGTTTCTAAATGGGAAACATATGCCTCTCTTCGGGAGGGGGTGCATGTATGAAGATGGCTCTGCCTTTATCGCCCCAAACCTTTGTTCTGTTTGTAGATGCCTGGCAGAGAGATCGAGCTCGAAAATGACCAGCAGTCGTTACAGTTTTATTCTGTGGAAAGTGGAGATTGTCTGTTGGTGCGATGGTAATAATGAACTAAGAAAGTCTGGGGACTACACTGTTTATCATGACTGGGTGTGGGGGTCACCGGAAATAAAGGATTTATTGGAACAATTCTGTCAGAAAAAGAGGTTTTACAACTTGCCGTAAGCATAGAAAAAGTGGTATTTTCACTGGGAAGAGACCATTTCTAGGCTTGTATGTAACAGCAGTAATAAAGGCTTTGCACCTACTAATGATTTTCTGATTTTATTTCATATTTCATGACTATACATTTCCATATGTGGAGATTTAAATATTAAATAGAACCTAGCTAGTCTAATGAATTCTGAACACGGTTAATGTCGGTCATAGGACCAGTTCTAATGGAACCTATGGATACTATGAGCTTATAAAGTTAGCAAAATTATTTGGACGGTCACTTTGGGAAAGGTCGCTTAAACTTAGGCATTTTCTATGTGTAACGTGTGCTGTGATCTCTTCCCTTCATTACCCTGTTTTTAGAGTACTTACAAAAATTCATTACATGCTTTTCCCTACAGTTGTACCTAAGCTGGGCATATATCCTACAGAAGATTTCCATCTCTGATCGGAGTTCACTCATATTAGGTAAACATTACGCAATGACGGGAGGAAAGAAAAATTCATTCTTTTAAAGTGTCTGCTACTTAGCAGTATCCTTCCCTAGGTCACTAAAACCCAGAGAGGTATTTGATTTACAGCCACAGAATTTTAGCTTTTTTTTTTTTTAATAGTACTAGACCATGACCTTCAGGATTTATGTTAAACAGCAAAAGAAAACAAATTAGCTCACTTAATAGGTGAACTTTAAAACCAATGTCCAGAACTGAGACTTATATGGGTTCCTTTTCCAGTTGCCCACTTCACTCAGACATTTCCATTCCCAAACTTTGGTATAAGTGACCACACAGCATTCTGTGAATTGTTTTTGGCCCTTCATGATCCTAATTATGCCTCACAGAGCCATTCTATAATCCAGGCTGGAATTCACATTCTTAGTTACTAGATTTCTGAACGAGGCCAATTTTAACCAAAAGTGATAGGTAATGAATTATAAACTAGGAAGGATACCTCAGGTTTTAGAAACATGTTTTATAAAACAATTTGGTGTTTTTCAAATGGTCTTCCAATATGGAAATAAAATTTTTATGTACAGTATCAGTTGATTTTTAAAAAGGAAATTTTGTGCAAACATTTAGAAATATCACATTGGTTTCAGGTAAAAAGTGCCAACCTAGAACTATCTGGAAAGACCACAGCGCTTGTTGCCTAACTGCGGGCTCCCCTCCGACTGACCCCAGCTGCTCCGAGGCGTACCGTCCTCCTCCGGCACAGCAAGTTAAAACCCTCCCGCTGCTGCTTCGCACTGACAAGGATCCCCACACAGTTCCTTCAGCTGCCACAGCCGCGCCAGCTCCCGGGGCGAGTACTGCGGGGAGGACAGCATTCCCGTCTCACACGTCTTCTCACACAGCCACAGGCCGTCCTGGCGAGAAACCAAAGTGAACTCAGAGCCGTGGAAATGAGCTTGTAGGCTCCAGGGGCGGGGGTGGGGGGGTGGCGGAGAGGATTCTAGCCATATGCGTGTGTGTGTGTGTGTAATTTAGAAAACAGAACCCGTGTCTCAACCTTGACCCTGGGTGGGATGGAAAGGGTCTGCCCTGAGCACCTGGAACCCCAGCCTGCCCTTAGCTGGGGTCCCATTCGCCGGCGGTGCAGTCGGAGATGGTCATGGCCTTCGGTGCGAGGCAGAAACATCAGTCCTCTTTGTAGAGAACATTTTAAATACTTCCTTTCCAAGGACATGAGTTCACACACACAAGTCTCTGAACACATCAGGAAACAAGCTCCCTGAGCTACGTCTGCAGACACACCTGCCCACACAGACCCACCAACCCCAGCTACCACAATGATCAGACGCAGAAAATGATGTTCAGCGTTCGGCAAGTCAAAGCCGGGACTTTGGGAAGACGCAGGGCAGTCACGTCTGGCCCAGGAGAGAGGGTTCATCCCCGTGCACCCCTGACACGAGTGGGGCCTGCTCTGGGCCCAGGCGCCGCACAGGCTTCCTGCCCTACCCGTCCCTGCGTGTGCCTCTACCCCCTGCACCTTCTGTGGCCAAAGTGGAAGCTGCAGGAATCGAATTCCCCAGAAAGCCTTGAGCTGAAGCCCAGCTTTGTGCCTGCCTCTCCCCAGGGCCCCTGTTCCCATTTCCGACCTCCGGAGATCCCTTCCTTCCTTTCTTTCCCTGACCCGGCGGTCCGTGGATTTCCAGGAGCACCTTCCGGTACTTACATCCGCGGTTGCATCTGCATCAGTCAGAAGAGCTGAAGGGTCCCCGGACTGTTACGCTGCTGGGAACTTGCCAGCAGATTCCTTAAGGTCTTTTTTTTTTTTTTTTTTTTTGAAGTGATCTCTGAGCCCGACATGGGCTCAAACTCATGACCTTCAGATCAAGAGCTGCAGGCTCCACTGACAGAGCCAGCCAGGCGCCCCAGACTCCTTGTATTTTAAAAAGCTACCAAGAACTTCTAATGAAACATATAAAAACCTATTTCTTCTCTGTGGGTGGGAAAACTTCCATCCAAAACATTTAAACTCAAAAAGTATGCGAGCACAGGTGGATGGCTGTGAGCTGAATCGGGCTCAGCCCTGCTGCTGGACCTTCTGCTCGCCGTTCCTGCCCCACGTCTGACCCAGGCGCCTCACTCCCTCACAATCCGCAGAGCCCCGGGGCTGGGGTCGGCCCCGCCAGGCTCGCTTACCTGGTAGCGCGCAGGTCCTATGGCTGCCATCCAGATGCCCATGCTCACGTCTTCACCCTGTACGTGCCCGAGAGTCAAAATGCAGAAGCTCAAATGCTGCGTCGTCTCTAAACACGATGTCACACGTTCCCATAAGTCATCTTTCCACTTCATTCTGTAATTATTCTACCGGGAAACGCCAGGTCCACCACTTGTACACAGAGGGAAACCTGGCGGCCGTGGACACCCGGGGCCGGTCGGCCGCCCTTGGAGGCCCCACGCCAGCAGCTTGAGCCCTACAGCAGCTCCGGTGGCCAGGTGGGCTGATGAGTGACACGGTCACCGGAATCCACAAAAAGGAAGCCCATGCTTTACAGACTTCCTCCTTTTGACTGTCAAGCTTTCGGTTCTTCCAGGGACTATCCTCCTAAGTACAGCCCGAAAACCTATTAAGTAGGCTCAAAAAAAGATTTTAGGAACAGAATCTAGAGCCAAGGTCTGGAGGCCATGGCTGTGTCCCTGACCTTGGAGGGGGACTCCTCCCAGGTGCGCTGCTCTGTGCTCAGAGGTGGAACACCGGGCTGGACAGGACTTGGCGTGAAGAGTACGCGGCCGGGGCGGAAATCCAGACTCACCTGATAGGTCTTCAGTCTGCCCGCGTTGCTGGCGAGCCAGTGCACGATGTCCCTGGAGATGACGTACCCCGAGCCACAGGCAAAGGCTGGGTAGGCAGGACTGGGGTACTCCAGCTCCTGCCACTTGCCGGTTCGGTCCACTGCCCAGTTCAGTCTGAAACTGAGAGCCAAAAAGAGGTGGCTTCTTTGTGTGGGTGTGACAGCTGTCCTACACTACGAGCCGGGACCCCTTTACGATCACTACAAAGGACTAAGCTGTAAAAGTAAGGAAAGAAGGAATTTTTTTTTTTTTTTGGGTCTAAGGAAAGGCATCATTTACCTAGCGGGTGTGTGACATGAAAGACTGGCGCATCACATTCTCTAAGTTACATCTGTGGAGTTTCTGAAAGTACCAGAGCATCACGTGTACATACGCTAAAGACCCCGAATCCATGCTGGATTCCTGAAGAAACAGCGAAGTTTCAGAAACGTGTCACAACTCTCTTCTACCCTGTACAGCTCCTCCTTACACGAGCACCGTTACTTCTAGGCCGCGATGATGAGAGCCACACGGTCTTCCCCTCCTCGTTCACCTTAGCCCAGGCTTCCCGGTCTGCAGATCTCCCCTCTCGCTGCAGAATGCTAACGCCCAGGGGCCCAGGCAGGAGGCTGCCCATCTCAGCCACATTTTGCTTGTGAAAAACAGCTTGTGTGTTTGTCATTCTAAATTAATTCCCTTTGATCAGGGACATGAAGCTGAAGAGCGAACAAGGTTTAACTTACTTTCCCCACCAAAAATTAGGCCCATCCAGATTCTTGTGGGCAATCCTATTAAATACAGCCTCCAAGTCTATGTAACAGTCGTCGTCTGTCTTCAGCAGTAAGTCAAAGCTCGTTGTTTCCACGGTCCTGTTGGCAGAAGGGAAAGCGGGAATCAGTGCATCCGTACCTCCGTACCAGGAGAGGAAGTGACGCCGCCGTGGTGACATCACCACCGTTTTACTACTGGAGGACTGTCCCTGGATGACCTGCACACTTTCTCTGTTTCTCCGAGGCTGAGAACGTGCTCAGAACGCTGCCGCCAGCAACTGCATCCATCCTCACTCGGTACTCACCGAGTGTAACAGAGAAGCACCAAGCGGATCTGAAGGGTGCGGACGAAAACACAATAAACTACAGACCTGGCTTAAGTGGAACCTATGCGCAAACAAACGGTTCTGTGACCTTGTTCCCATCAGGCTGGCAAACATGCCAACCCTGGCACTTGGGTTCTTCCCGGGGGCCCAGGGTGCGGGGACAGGTGTCCTCGCAGGCTCTCCCACAGAACCCTGCTGCACAAGATGCCCTACTGTGCCACGAGTTCCACTTCACTCAGCTGATGGTTTTTAAAACACTGAGCTGTAACATGGAAACAGACTTCCCCGAAGAAATGATTCCCCACAATTAAACTCTTATAAATGACCTTTAGGAAGGCGCAGGAGGGTGACTTCATTTACCCAGATATGTAAGGGCGAGCAGAGACAAAACTGACTTCATTTCACAGTGCCAATCCCTGTCCATCTTGGATTAAAATAAACCCAGAGTCTTGCTAGGGAACCAAATGGCAGAAATCTGAATAAAAGAAATCTGGAGAAAGTGTTTTTCGGTCGAAGAATGGTGAATTTCACAACAGGTCCACACCAAAGTGCATGACCCCGTGCTTCTGAAGTTTACTTCTAACTAACAGTACAGGAGCACATAATATTTGCTCATCAGGAGGAACTCTGTGATAAAGGACACTGCGGTCACTGAGGAGTCACCTGAAGAAAGAATGCCTAGCGCCACTTTCATTACAGCATGGATGGTGGACAGGTGTCACAGGCGGGGAGGGGGAGGAGTGGGTCCCCAAGCCCAGGTCCATTAGCCTGTCACCAGTGATTCAGGTGGCAGTGATGACTAAGATCTCAGAGATGCGCAAGGAGTACAGGAGAGAAGACTTACACCAAAGGTAACAGATAAACTACACTGAACTTCCACAGCCAGGAATCAGCTCCCCAGAGAAAGTCCTAGAACCCCACAATCCGGATTTCCCACTTCTTGGACCTCCATTCCCACCCTTCACTGAACTCTTTCCATTCCTGCCTTGGCCCCCTTATAACAAGGACCCCTCTCAGGGGCCTTGAGCTAAAGAAGGTTCTTTTTCTCCGTTCAGCTGTCCAAACACAACCCTGGTATTCTAGACACACCCCGATCCAGCTCTTAATTCTATCTGCCCTCTAGCCACAGGGTGTCTCCAAAATTGTATTAACTTGCCCTAGCTATGAAACATGACCTTCCGTAAATGAATCCAGACTACATCCATCCACTCTGCCTAGGGCAACAGGCAAGAGAGAGCAACAGACTTGGGGGCTCACCAAGAAACGAGCTTCCTGATCCAATTTTAAAAGACACAGATGTGGAAACCTCTAGATTTAGGCTAGACAGAGAAAGCTCGGGTTCGTTCTAGGGTGGACAGTGTCACAGGGCTCAACAGCAAGTAAGTGGACCCCTGAGTGACTAATCTTGTTAACTGTACAAATATGTAAATTATAGTAGTTGTTATCGTTGCTGCCATCAGTCATATAAAGGCAGGAATGACAACCCGGGTGGAAGAAATGCTGAAGGGTTGGGAAGTTACAGGAGAGTTCCAGGGCTTTGCATTTCATCTTATTGAAAACGTTTGGAATTAGGGCAAGTGGTTCTCGAATGCGTGGAGTAGAGGATGCAAACAGAACGTGCGTGTTCTGAAGAGAATTCAGACCAGTAACCTGGGCTCGGGGGAGCTGTATGTGGGCCATGTAGGTCAGCAGGTGTGATCACCACTGAACACGGGACATTTTCAAACTCCGTGATTTTCATCTGGTGTTGGCTTGAGGCAACCAAGACAATTACTCACAGGACTCATTCTGACTCAGAGAGAATGGAACAACTCGAAATGAGAGCGACTTTTGCTCCATTTTTGATAAAGATTGTTCACATCACGGATCTGCTCATCTGAATGACAAAGCAGCAGAACTTTAAAAGGTCAATCCTCACAAAGAACCAGGACACAAGACATCACATCCCAGGTGTTGAGGGGTTCTGGGGTTGGTTTAAAAAAAAAAAATGCAGGGGTCTAATGTTAATAAATTGTTCCTACATCCCAAAAACAGTAAGACAAATTCTACCTACCCCACATTCTTACCACCTACCATCTGTAGAAGTTCAGCAATTTCGCAGGGACATTTCGGTAAGTGTCCACGACATCCACAAAAACAATGTCATCATAGATGCTGCTTTCCTCCCTCAGTAGGGCGTCTTCCCTGTGGAGGTTACTTATGTGGTCAAGAAGTCTTCGAGGGCGAGAATGGAGGTTTTGTAAGAGTGTGTCACCTTCTACAAAGGAAAATTCAAGAGCTGGAGAAAAATGCTGTGGCGAACGTGAGACTCAGCACGTGAACGCTTTGTATGCTCACACCCTCTCCCTGGGGGACCCAACAGAAAGCAGCGGGAGGCCCCTGAGCTGGGCTCCAGGCCCTCCTGCCCCTGCGCGGATCCACGGCCACTCTCCTACGGACAGTCCCGCGGCGGCCCATCAGGCCGTGGGAGGCAGTGGGTCCCTCCACGGCCACCCCAGCCCCGGACTCTCTATTTCACATGCTCACAAGGACGTCCCCTGCGGCGCTGTTTGTAACGGAGGAAACGGAACCAACCTAAATGTCCCCTGACAGGAGAGTGACCAGCCTGGGGGACAGTTACGTGCGGGATGCCGCAGGCAGAAGATGTGACCTGATCTTGCATGTTCCGGGGAATGGCACCGACAAATGATGCCAGGGGAGGGACCTTCATCGCTAGGTGATATGTACAATATGATGCCACAGACCTCGATTATAAAACACTCCCATCAGAACTGTTACGGAAAGATACATGCGTATGTAGTAGAAAGCAGGGAAGAAAGAAAGGGAAGTGTGTACATGAATTTCGGGACAGGGACACCCTCTCCGAGGGGAGGGAGGGACATGGTCGGACAGTTAGCAGGGAGGGGGACTGTGTCTGTGACGGTTTTTTCTTAAAAGGAAGCAAATATGACAAAACATAAACATTTGTTAATTGTGAGTAAGAAGGACATGGCTGTTTCCCACAGCGCTCTCCATTCTTGGTGTCTCTGTGCTATTTCATAATAAAAGTGTGCTGAAAGACACCTGTTTACTACCTCACATGTTAACGAATCACTTGTCACGTTGGTGCAGGCACTGGCCTCAGATCCTGTGGACTTAAGGCGGCCACTTTCACTAGGGCAGGATTTTCTCAAATGTCTCACTCCAATCAGAGAAAACGTCTAGTAAATACAGCGAGTGGCTGCAGGGCGAGGGAACAACAGAGCGCTCAGCACCCCACCTCCCGGGACTGCAGGGAAAGCCTGGGGTGCGGGGATCGAAGGCCGAGACCCGATTTCTGCCTCTGCCCACGGGGACATGCGGGGCAAAGCTGCAGGTTTCCGGGCCCGTGTTCTCATGAGCGGGAGGTGGAGGAGGGCGGGGACCGCTTGCTGACACCCGCATTCAGCAGGTCGGGGGCAGAGGCCATGACTCTGTCTTCAGCATGTGTCTTCCCAGAACTCTGAGGCAGCAGGACCCCAGACAACCACCGTTTGGGAAACTCGGGCCTGAATGACCCTGTGCTCTGCCAGCACGTTCTACTGTACATTCTATCACACTCTACCGTAAGAGCCTTTACTTGGGAGATAAAGAGAAGTATATGCAATTTAACACTTGAAGGAAAGTCCAAGTGTTTGAAAATTGGCAAAATGGGAGAACGGCTGTAACAAGGGGAGAGCAGGAATTAAACACGGGCCTTTCAGACGAAACCCACTGCCGGTGTCAGGAAACCAGGCACATGCAGTAGCAGACCTGCGTGTCCTTTAAACCGATGATCTGTCCAGCTGTGACCGAAAAGAACCGCAGCGTGCCAGCCTCAGAGTTTGCTAGATCACGTCTGTCTAGTGAGCCTGCTAAGACACAGACATCTGCGCTCCAGTCTCGAAGATTTTAGCTTTGTAGCTTGAGGTAGGGTCCGGACAGGGATGCCAATGCCCGACAAAATTTAATAACCGGTGTATAACCTGACGGTTCTGAATGGCACTTAGATCCTGATTTTAAAAAATGTATACTGAGATTTTTCAGATATATCCAGTACATGAGAAGACAGTCTACTCATTTTCATTTTTTTAGCCTACAACTTAAGTTATTTCACTCTTATTTGAAAGAAATTGTCCCTCACCCAGACCTTATTCCTTTAGCCTCCATGACAGAAAAATTATGACAAGCTTTTGTCCAGGGTACAGGAGCGGCCCCTTCTAGAACAGTTTAGTGGCAGAAGTCTCAAGGGCCCCTTAAACTAGTTTTTAAAACCTCCCAGTGGCATATTCGGGAATGAACTGGTCAGAGAAGGGAAGGTGCCGGATACTCCAGTCAGACAGTGCGTTACACTGTCCCAGCCCCATGGCTTCGCTGCCTTAGAAAGCTGCCTGAGCTCCGGATCCGAGTTTTCCCCAGGGCTGGGGTATTAATAGCCGCTTGGGGAGCTAAGTGGACACCTTCCTTGGCAGAGTGGTCTCACAGTTTCATGAAAACTCTCTGGACTGGAGTTAAGGATCTCTAAATTTTAAATCTATTTTTAATGCAAGTTTATGGGCAAAACCCATGTGCCTGTTCTAGCCTACTCTTCGGGGTAACGTAACAATACAACGACTTCTGTGAGGAAACACTATAAATTAAGAGGCTTTTGAAAAAATTTTATAAAGCCACAGTCCATTTGCATCCCCAAAGAACAGGCAGTGGCTCAAACGGGGTGTGTGCCCTCCTCAACACTGTGCTGTCAAGGGCTCCTGGAGAGTCTCCTCTCAGGATCTGCTCTGCTTTCCCTGATCACGGAGAGCCTTCAGGGAAGCTGGGTCCTAATTCTTTTATCGGAATCCATGCTCTGTGGAGCTCTGAGATGTCAAGACAGAAATTCGACTGGGCACCTTTGTTCCCTAGAAGATGTTCAAGACAGGTGGCCAAGAGGAACTGCATCCATGGTAGTCTTTCTTTCTTAACGATCAGAGACACGGAATTCTCAGGAATCATAGACAGATATTTAAGTAAGCATCATTCAAGAAGACAAACACAGCCACTCCCATCCTGACAAAATCCCTCTCGAGTTCTAGGCTAATGTTCCTGACCCCAAGTTTTAAAGGAATCTTTCTAACAAACCCATCCTTGAAGTGTAATAGATTAGGAGAAGCATTTAACAAACTGTACTCTGAAAGAGAGTCTATGTTTAAATATTCACATGAGGAGAAAGTACACAGAGAGTGCACAGAAGCAGGACAGGAAGCTGAGTCCGCTGGGCCACCTCCAACAGAGGGACAGACGCGGGCATCAGAATGCACCACGCTTGTTGGGACAGGGAGAAAAAGGTTCTTCCCTTCTTCCCTTCCCTTCTGACAGTAGCACAAAACCCACTATAGCTATACGGCCTCTGTAGCCGTGCTGCAGAAGTCCCCACTTGGCTACAGGATAAACCAGACACAGCCACACTAGGGCCAACAAAGACCAAGGTCATAGATTTTTCAACGTCATCCTTATGGTGAAAGACTGGATACTTTCCCTCTAAGAGTGGGAACAAGACAAGGATGTCTGCTCTACCACTTCTACTCAACACTGTATTAGACATTCTAGCCATGACATTTAGACAAGAAAAAGCAATAAAAGGCATCTCGATTTGGGGGGGCGGGGAAGGTACAACTATCTCCATTAGCAGATGACATGATCTTGTAGGTGGAAAATCCTAAGGCACCCAACTAGTAACTTAATAAACGAATTCAGCAAAATTGCAGCATACAAGATTGATATATAAGAATCACTTTTATTTCTATACATTAGCGATGAGAATCTAGAAATGTAAAAAACAATTCCACTTATAATAGTGCCAAAAAGAATATGTAAGAATAAACTTAGCAAAAGAAATGTAAGACTTATACTCCGAAAACCATAAAACATTGCTAAAGGAATTTAGTTTAAGACATAAGTAAATGGAAGGATATGCATGTTCTCCGATCAGGGACTTAATGTCAGAATGGCAACACTCCCTGAAAAGATCTGCATGTTCAACGCCACCCCTTTCAAATTCCAGCTGGCTTGCTTGCAGAAATTGATAAGCTGAACCTAAAATTCATATGGAAATGGAGGACCCAGAATAGCCAAAACAATCTTGAAAGAGAACAAAGTTGGAGGATTCACACTTCCCGATGTCAAATCCTGCTACAAAGCCACATATGCAAGACAGCAGTACGGGTAGAAGGACACAGAGTGCACACACAGAACAGAAGTGGGAGCCCAGAAGTAAATCCTTACATTTAAGGTCAGAAAGTACAGCATGGAAGTTAACAGTTGGTAGGTGTTGCGGGAGGGGAGAATGAGGCACGTCCGCTAATGGGCACAGGGTTTCTTTCTGGAGCGATGGAAATGGTCTGGAATTAGCAGTGATGCTTGCAGAACTCTCACACCGCAAACCAGTGACTTAACCACTTTAAAAGGGTAAAGTGTTTGTGAATTATATATCAATAAAGCTTTTTTTTTAATTACAAAAAAAAATCCCCTTTTCCGTCAAAGTACGGAGTAAGATTAGGTACGTGAGACTCAGCACACTCCTCACCTTCCAAGCCGCCGACTTACCCTGAATGGTGTAAATAAAACCACCGGCCACTCCCTCCACACCTTCCATGAACTCATGGGGCAAGGCGCCCTCCCCAGCCTGAAAACAAGGGAAGTGCTCAATGCTTCATTACTACAATGAAGTACTCTACATTGTGTACTCTACACTTCTTCTATTTAAAACTGATGTGGCAAAATTTATAATGTGACTCCACAGCAGAGAAATCCATTTAAGCCCTACACGAGATCAGGTTGACTTCAGTGTTTTATGTTTGTTATCTGATTGTTACCTTGATTGCAATATTAAAGATCAGGTGCACAGGGCAGTCCATAGGGCTCGGAATTCCAACTGACACAGAATCACAGTCCTGAACTTGCTACCATAATAGCACAAAACCCAATTTTATTTTACATCCCAAACCTGCCACTTAAAAAAATGACCACCTTTGATTTCTTTGAGACTGAAAACTGCCATGAATTCAAATACATCTAGGCAGATTTTTTCAAGTTTGTTCTACTGGCAGAGATAGCCCCTTGAATGAACTGTGCAGACGGAGCCCGGCTGCTCATTGATGCTCTCACAGCTGCCCAGGCCGGCCACAGGCCTCTCGGCCTCCGAGGACTGGAGGAGATTTTATGATTAGAGATTTACAAGTTCCCCAGTGTGGTGTTTCCCTTCTGTGTGCTGCACGCCCATGTGGCATCCCTGGCAGAGTGGGGCTGGGCCGGACCGCACAGGTGTGTGTGTGTGTGTGTGTGTGTGCACGTGCGCGCACATGGCACCGCTCCCACACACTCCCCTACCAGCATGGCTGCAGCCTGGCCTGTCCCCTCAGCAGAGCTGTACTGCGCAGAGCAGTGTTTTAGGGCTGTAGAGACCCCATCCGGAGATGGGACCGTGGGAACTTATCGCTTAATGTGGAGGAAGCTATCGAAGGTGGAGCTAACGTTCCCGGCTTTGCAGAGCCAGGCAAGGTGGCACACTCTGTTTTTTCATTGTGTACTCTACATTGTTTCGGCTTGTTTAGAACTTGATGGTACTTTTCATTAGCTTCTATCTAAAAGGTCACTGCTGGACTTGTAACAGTTTCTGACATTCTCACTTGCTGGCAAGGGAGCAAGACTTGGGGAAAATTGCAGCTTCACTCATTTATGGTGGAAACCTGTATTTGTACGTGGGGGTTTCCTAGAAGGGGCTACCAAATGACCGGACTATTTTTTAAGGTTAGCGGAGTGTGTAAGCAGTCTTTTGCCCTCTACAACTATATTTACCCCCAAAGGGGTTCATTTGAGTCTTTCCATTTGAACCTAGTCCTCAACTCAGAAGTCATCTGGTTTCCTTTTGTGCAATCAACTTAATAACTACAGAATTTCAGCACATTTTGGATATTTTTTAAAGTTTCATAAATAGAAAAAGAGGCGACATACTAAAGGCACTTGCCTTGGAAATAAGGAAAGAATAAAACTATAATTAAATTTCATAAGACGTTCAATGCTAAATAAACGACTGTTGGTAACAAAGGATGAGATCCTAAAAATGACCCATAAGGCTAAGTTTGTAATTATATATGAATCTGTGATCTAATGATTTTCTTCCTCACTGGAGTATAAGTTCCACTGTGGGCCAGGAGTGGTTTTCTAAATGAGTAACAGCATACCACCTAATGTTTATTTCAAATTTGGGAATTAATTCATGTGAATATTAATAGCTAATGAAAATAGACTAAGCCCGTGAGCTGAGATGGCAAGCACTCTCCTAATCATTACACCAGAGCATCGAAGAGAGTGAGACTGTGTTTGTGACACCACCACACACCCCACTTGTATTATTTAAAGCTCATCGTGTGAAGTCTGCCTACACCTTTTCGTCCCACACTTACTTGGAGATATTTACCTATCAAACTTTCAAATCTGAAGCAAATCTGAATACATGAAAAATACGAGGCAGAAATACCAGCAATATAAATGACACCAAAAGCTCTGCTGTATTTGCCAGCACAGCTGTCTGTGCTGCTGTCACGAACGCCCTGCTAGGAAGGTGAGGGTGTGAGGATTCAGAACACTACCAAGCATCCTTTGAGAATGTTAGCTTAGAAGTTATTGAGAAATGGGCGCCTGGGTGGCTCAGGGGGTTAAGCCTCCACCTTTGGGTCAGGTCATGATCTCAGGGTTCTGGAATCGAGCCCCACATCGGGCTCTCTGCTCAGTGGGGAGCCTGCTTCTCCCTCTCTCTCCACCTGCCTCTCTGCCTACTTGTGATCTCTGTCTGTCAAGTCAATAAATAAAATCTTAAAAAAAATAAAAAAATAAATTGGGAAATAAAATATCACGTTTTTTAAAAATCACCAATCTTAAGGCAAAACTGTGCATGTACTAATGCTGGAGTGAGAAAATCCAAGAAGATGAGTTGTTCGTCTGTACTATGGTGACAGCATTTTCTGCTGTACACGCGCGAAAGTACCCACGATTCACGGTTCCACATTCCCTGGGTTGATGTAAATTGTAAAATTAAAAACACTCTTTCTGTATTAAAAAATGCTACTATGCCGAACAGCCTTAGGAAGAAAGGATGACTTACCGTAATCACTCGGAGAACGCCGCCGCCGTCATTCACAGTCACTTTGTGGAGATTTCTTGACACGAGGCCTTGGAGGTCTTGGCTCTCCCACACGATGGTACCTTCAAAGCTCTTTTTGTGGAAAGATAAAGTGAGTTGATTTCTTTATTGTTGTCATTTAGGTTTTAAGTATGTTTTTAAGGAAAAATAATTTTTTCCCCTAAAACCTATTGGTTACAATTTTTATCCCGCTACTCTAACACACAGCACCGTTAACATGTTGGTGTATATGCTCGAGTCATTTTTCTCATGTGTATCTGAAAGATACAAGTACAAAGGGTGCAGAGACAATTTTGCTGCTGTTTGCATGTCCCTCACTCCAAAGAGTTTCCTGTTGTTACAGCTCGGACGACTATTCTTTGCCACGCACACACAACTGACGTGCATCAAGTCGCGATCCCGAGTCACAAAGGCATGTCCCCATGGCAGATCTGGGCTCTACCAACTATCTAGTGAAGCATGTTTTGGTGTGAATGTTTATTTTGTTTCAAAATACATTTTCAGAGTTGAAATTATGGGGACAAGAAAGAAATACAGATATTTTATACAGATTTTGGGACACAATGTCAAACTTTTTTCAAAAAGGAAATTACCTAATTTCCCAATTTACAAAATACTACCTGTACTGTATTCTTCCAAGTATGGGATATTAATGAAAGCAAAGACATTTACATCAATTTAATAGATTAAAAGATGATTCCTCATTAACTGCATTTCTTTTGATTTCTGATGTTTATAAATTACACAGTCTCTACTGGGAGCTACTGATCCATGCCTCTTTGCCATTTAGCTACTGAGTTTTCTACTTTTCTTATTAATCTGTGTTATCTTGTAATAAATAATTCTGTTTCTATAATACATGCTAAAATATTTTTTTCAGAACTTTGCCACTTTTTTTTTTTTTTTTTTTTTACTTAAAAGGTCCATAAGTTTTATCTTGTCAAATCTGTCAAGCTTTCTGTTTGTGATAATTATTAAATTCTGGGCTTAGAAAGTTACACTCTCTGCCCAAAGGTTTGACACATTTAAATTCTAGTGTCTTCTAATTTTTCCAGGAGGGTTCAGCTGCTCCTTTGTACTGCTCAGGCCGTCCCCACTGTCAGCCCCTCTGGCTTGCTCCAGAGATCCAACGGAAGGCAGCTGGCATCCAATTTTTCCCTACCACATCAGCCTGTCTTCCTAATACCCCACTTATCAGTCTGATACTTCCTGTTTATTTTACTACTGTCGAACTAACAATTCCCACTAGAACACAAGCACCATGAGAACAGGGATCTCATATGTCTTATCAACCACCATATTCCTGGCACCTAGAATGGCCTGACATGCTTAACAGGCACTTGAAAAATATTTACTTAATAAACAATGTTAATTGTTAATTGGAATGATTTTTGGTCTAGAACACCAGACAAAAGATACAGCTTTAATTATCTTTTAATTTTTTTTCACGTATTAAAATTAAGAGATAAAGCGCTGTAAGGTCTCAGTTAGCCAGCATTAGGAAGGGCACTATATAAAACTGAACTTTCCAATAAGTGAGGCCAGTGGTTTGAAAGGTTAGGCCTTTCAAGCAAGGCCAGTGGTTTGAAAGCTTTTTGTAAAGCATTATAACTCCTCTATGAAACGGAAACGCTAGGAGTCGGGATTCCTCGGGCAGTCTGTCACTTTATAGTCTGCACTGTTGGGGAGACTCCTGATGTGCTTTGAGGAGCCCCAGGGTTCCAGAGAGCAGGACTCTTGGACACACTGTGGGGGGTCACCGCTTGACCTCGAGCACAGAACAAGCGATGCCACCTCATAGGGCTGGGCCAGGGATTAATGATGACACGCGTGCGGCGTGCGGGGTCTCTGCTCAGCGCAACGGAGCTTTAAGACCACTAGAAGGAAAGCAGAAAGTGAAGGGCCCCTTTAAAAGATCTTGTTGTCTTATCTTGGAAATGGGCACAGATTATTTCTCTACTCTCCCTGGAAAGCCTTAACTCTCCAGCTGAACCTTGAGTCCCTAAAAACAGCATCCTTACAGACACATGCACAGAGGGAAACAAGCCTAGGGAGAAATACAAGTATCCTGGGAAACATGTGGATAATGTCACATTCCTCTAACCTTTCTATATGTAGTCAAGTTTTCAACAGTGGATCTGTATTCCTTTCCTATATTTTCACACTTTTATGATCAAAAAATTTTTTTAAACATATGTATACAAGGAAATAAATTTGGGGTCAATCTTCTTCCAGACACAAGGCATTCGTTATCTAAACTTTTGAGTGTCTATGACGCAGCAGTCTATGGGCTACTGGAACATTTACAGGAGTGAAACAGCTCCTATCTTCAGATCCTCATAATATGCCCTGCTGGGGTCAGTGACAGAGGAAAGTCACTCTGCCTGAGGTCCGCCAGGACTCCAGATGACAGAGCCCGGGGCAGAGTCTGGCAGGCGTCTGAGTCAGCAAAGGGAGAGGCAGATGAGCACTCCTCAAAAGGCAGGCGTGAGAGCACTGCAAGCCCAGGAAAGTGTGGAGAGTTTAGTGCCTTCGAAGCCCCAGGCTGAGGAAAGGAGACGTGGAAGGCGGCTCTGTCAGCGCTGCCTGCGGTAACAGTCTGTCCTTCATCCCCAAGCCGGGGGAGCATTTGTTTGCAAGCACAGAAGTGACGCAATCCTAGCCCCCATTTTAAACGGTTGCTCCAGGAGCAGAACAGCATCAGGCAGGCGGGTAAGGAGACTGGGAACTGGACTATTATGGAGGTCCAGGTGAGGAGTCAGCACTAACCTAGAAATTCAGACTGCCTTCTGAGAAGCTGAAGGAGACACAGATATATGGAAAGATATTCAAGCTCGCAGATTGGAAGCATTAATATTATTAATATGTCCATACTACTCAAAGCAATCTAGAGATTCGAGGTAATCTCTACCAAATTCCAATGGGGTTTTCATAGAAATATAGCAAGTGCTACTAAAATCTGCACGGAACCACAGAAGACCCCAAACAGCCAAAGCAACCCGAAGAACAACACAGCTGGAGGCATCCTGCTTCCTGATTTCAAACTATATTACAAAGCTACTGAGAACAAAACAGCACGCTATTGGCATAAAAACTGGAACACTGATCAATGGAACAGAAGGGCGAGCCCAGCACCAAGCCCATGCATAAATGGTCAATTCACTTACCACTGAGGAGGCAAGAAAATACATGGGAAAGACAGACAGACACTGCAACAAATGGTGTTGGGAAAACAGCCAAGTGCAAGGAAAGAACCTGGACCTCTACGCTATGCCGTATACAAAAAATTACCTCAGAATGGATTTAAGACCCAAACAGAAGACCTCACATCGTAAGATTCCTAGAATAAAACTTGGGTGGTAGGTTCCCTGACACTGGTCTTGGCAATGATTTTTTTGGATTTGACACCAAAAGCAAAAGCAACAAAAGCAAAAATAAACAAGTAGGACTACATCGAACCAAAAAACTGCTGCATAGCACAGGAAACCATCAGCAAAATGAAAAGGCAACGTATGAATGGGAGAAAATATTTGCAAACGATGTAACAGACGAGGAATTACTACCCAGACATATAAAGAATTCCCACAACTCAACAGCAAAAACCAAACAATCCAATTAAAAGATGCGCAGAGGATCTGAATAGAATGTTTCCAAAGACAACACAACGCACAGATGGCCAACAGGTACATGAAAAGATGCTTTCATCATCAGGGAAATGCAAATCAAAACAATGAGAGACCACCTCACACCTGTCAGAATGGTGACTAAGATGCGGAGAAAAGGGAACCCTCGTGCGCTGCTGGTGGGAATGTAAACCGTTGTAGACACTGTGGAAACAGTATGGAGGGTCCTCAGAAACTGAGAACTAGAACTACCATATGATCCAGCAATTCCATTTCTGGGTATTTATCCAAAGGGAATGAAAACACCCACTTGAAAAGACATCTGTGCCTCCTTGTTCACTGCCGCATGTTTACAAAAGCCATGATGTGGACACAACCCGAATGCCCACAGATGGATGGATGGATGAAGATGTGATGCAAATACACATACGCGCGTGCGCACATGCATGCAGACACAGGAATATTATACAGCCATAAAAGGAAGGAAACCTTGCCATTTCCAACATGGATGGACCTTGAGGCCGTTATGCTAAATGAAATCAGTCAGAGAAAGACAAACGCCATATGACTTCACTTATATGTGGAATCCAACACGTTTTTAAAAACCAAAAAATGAAACACTAAACTCTTAGATACCGAGTATCAGATGGGTGGTTGCCAGAAGGGGGTGCTGAGGGGCTGCGTGAAATGGGAGAAGGGGGTGAAAAGGTGCAAATTTCCAGCTGTAAAATAGTAAGTCCTGAGGATGTAATGTACAGCATGGTGGGCAGTTAATAATGTTGTATATATGAAAGCTGCTAAGTGAGGAGATCTTAAAAGTTCTCATAAGAAAAGAAATGTAACTGTGGTGATGGAAGTTAACTAGACTCAGTGTGATCATACTGCAATATCCAATCATTATGCTGTACACCTGAAATGAGTAGGTTATATGTCAATTATATCTCCATAAAAAAAGGAAAAAAAGATTGCCTTCTGAGTTGAATAATTAAATGCATACGTTAAAGGGAACAATGTCTCTGATAACTGAGAAGGCTCTGAGATTGAAGCTTAATTAGTAAAAACTCACTACCTCAAAACAACAGATCAAGTATATTCCTATACAAAAGCTGGGCTGAGAGAGAAATCTGGGCAACGGAGCAATGTCTGGTGGGAGAGAGACGCAGGAATGGGAAGACACCGACCATTCCAGTCACATCGTGCCCGAACGAGCCAGCTCTCGGAAACAAACACATCCCACTCCTGTAAGCAAAGCCAAGGATCAAACCCAGCACTGCTCTGAGTTGGGTTTTTGGTGTCTGACATCCCAGTAAGGAGGTTCCCAGACAGGGGTCATGACTTTCAAATCTCATAAGCCAATACCTATTAAAGATGAATGAACAGGTACTCTGGTTTACAAACCGGTCTTCTGTGAATTTATTCAGTTTCATTCAGTGAGATTCTGGTCATCTC